CAGTGGGGCGCCGGGGGATTTGAGGAAGGATCCACAGAGGTGGTCTCCCCAGGAGACTGCCCCCCTGACCCCTAAGTCCAGAGCTCTGTGTCCCCACGGCTGGAGGAGCCTGGCCTCTCTTGGGCAACGCTGGGGTCAGAGGGTGCTGCTAGCGTCCTGCCTCTCAGAGCCTCCTGCAAGTTCATGTCTGCAGGCCCCTCCCAGCCCCTCCCCCTCAGGTAGCCCAGCAAGCATGGGCTTTGATGCTGCCACCTCCGGGCCCAGGCGTCAATGGGCCCTCTATATGACCAGGGGGGCTGCAGTGGGTGCGGGCGAGGCCGGGACACACAGTCCCAGTGTGTGGGGCCGCCACTGGCCCGCCCAGGCCCTGTGGGCAGCGGGGGGCTCCCAGGAATGCCCTCCCAGCCCGGGGGTGCCCTTTGGACAGGCAGGGTGGTCTGGGGAGACGGGTGTGTGCTGGGCAGCCGCGGCGCCAGGCAAGGCCGCCGTCGTGGGCGCCGAGTGGCCGGCAGGCTGGCCTCCGGGGTGCTTGCACTTGGGGTGACCAACTGTCCAGGGTTACCTGGGGCTTTTGGTGTCAGCCCCGCGAGAGCCCCTTGTTGCCAGCTCCTGCCCTGAGCTTAGGAGGGGACAGAGCCGCGACGGATGTGGGGAAGGTCCACGCAGCTTCCTTCCTGTCCAGTGACGTCTGAGTCAGACCCCCCCTCCACACAGCCCGCCTGTTGCCTGAGAACCAACCCTACCCATGGCCGAGAGAAGCCTGGCCAGGCAGGGGAGGCCCCGCAGACGGGGCAGCCAGGGCTGGGTACCCCTCCAGCACTGCCCCCCGTGCAAGGCCTCCAGCCCCATCCCTGCCTGCCGGCACGCCTTTGCCCAGCCCTTTCCCTCTGCCAGGGGCCTCCTTGCCCCTTCCTGTCACCTTGTGCCACTCCTGCATGGAGGGGGTTCTGCCGGAAGTCCCCGAGCTCGGCCCATGCCCCTCCTGCAACTCCCAGCATCCCGTCCTCCCCCGCGAGCTCTCTGCAGCGCCATTGTCTTCCCTGCAGCCCGCCAATTGCACGGTGGAAGTCCTGCCCCGCTCTGCCCGTTCCCCTGCTCCCGGCACGGGGCCAGGTTCGCTGCCTTCTGCCCCTTTAATGCCCTCAGCAGCCCATGGGGTGGGTCTGGTCAGCGCCGCTCACCCACAGGGAAACTGAGGCTGCCTGTAGGCTCCTGGTGGGGGACGGGGCCCCAGTGTCACTCTCCACTCCCAGGCCAGGCAGCCTCTGGGGCTCCTCTCCATCCGCCTGCCCTGAGGGCCCCCACAAGGTGCAGTAGAGGGCCTTGCTGCCCTGGCGGGGGGTGGGGGGGTGGGGAGGGAAGGCGCCCCAGGGAGTGCTGAGAAGGGCCTGGGGATGGCGGGGGCCACAGCTCACTAGGCGAATCCTCCGCCTGAGGCGCCGGCACCCTGGGTTCTAGTCCTGGTTGGGCATTGGTTCTGTCCCGGTCGCTCCTCTTCCAGTCCAGCTCTCTGCTGTGGCCTGGGAAGGCAGTGGAGGGCCCTGCTCCTGCATGGGAGACCAGGAGGAAGCACCTGGCTCCTGGCTTCAGATCGGCGCAGTGCGATTGGCCACTTGGGGGGTGAACCAACGGAAGGAAGACCTTTCTCTCTGTCTCTCTCTCTCTCTCTCTCACTGTCTAACTCTGCCTGTCAAAAAAAAAATAATAATAAAAACAACAACAACAACAACAACAAAAAAACAAAAAAAAGAAGGGCATGGGCACACTCGGGATATAGGAGCTGCCCCTGAACAAGGTACCATGGGCATCCTCAAGGCCACTGCGCACCAGGGGCAGAGAGGGAAACTGAGGCCCAGAGAGAGAAGAGGGCCCGGCCACAGGGACATAGAGTGCCTGAGATACAGCCCGAGGGCTCATCCTCCCCATCTGTCAGAGACAGGAAGAAGCACCCCGAGGCCCCCTGGGAGGCCCCCACACTGTCGAACTCCACCCCCGGGGCAGCTCTTCCGTGGCTGCTCCGCGCCCCTGCACGGTTGGGCGGGAACCCAAACCTCGCCCCCATGTGCACGCAGGGCAAAGCGGTCAGGGACAGGGGTTCGACTCTGCAGGGAGTCCAGGGCTCTCGGCCCCAGGCGGTGAGGGCAGGCAGAGGCCGCAGGGGCTGCTGGTCTTTGCCAGAAAAATAAACCAGGGGGAGGGGGCTTCAGGAGCTCTGTGACAGAGCTGGGGACCCACCCAGGGAGACAGAGCAACCCTCACTGGGGACCCGGCCATCTCAAGAGGCAGGGAATCCACCCCACTCCTCCTCATACTACCAGCAGGGCACGGCAAGGTCCACGGACTCGGATGGAGTCACACAGCGCACGGTGCCAGAGGCAGAGGACGAGACCTCTGGCTAGCACGCCCCGAGCTGCCAGTCACCGGGGGGCTTCCCCCAGCCCCAGCCCCAAGGACAAGGCCCCTGGCCAGCACGCTCCGAGCCACCCCATCACTGAAGGGCTTCGCCCAGCCCCAGCCCCAAGAGATTCTCATTCCAGAGTCCAAGGTGGGAGTCAGGAATCCAGCGTCTCGAACCACCTTGGGATGGCGGGCAGGAAGGCGCTCGCTGAGGGGCTGGGGTGGGACAGGTGGGCCTGGGGAGGTGGGGGGGACAGGACAGGTGGGCCTGGGGAGGTGGGGGGGATGGAGAGGAGGAGCGAGGGTAGGGGAGGCCTTCCCCCCAATGCATCAACCCCGGGAGATTCTGCGAACGCTGTAGCCCTGGGCTCCTCGACTGGCAGAGGCCATGGGGGTCCGTGAACTTGGGCTGGAAATAATGACATCATTCCCTGATCTCTCACTGAAACCGAGGGTCCTTCCCCACCGCGGTCGTGTGCCCACGTGTCGTGAGGGCTGCCAGGAAGCCTTCTGCTCCCTGGCTCCCGCGCGTCACTGCTGCACGAGGCCGGTGGCTGTGCCACCACCAAGCAGCTCCTATGAAGGGACACATGGCCACCGGATCATAGAAGCGCTTTCTTTCCGAGTTTGATAATGGCATTCCCACAGATGTGCTTTTCTTTATAATCCTTTGTGTTTTTTTTTTTTTTTTTTTTTTTTTTTTGCATTTAAAAATTTGACTCCAAGATGTACAAAGTCTGAAGGCTTTTAGATTCACCTCCCAGCGGGGTGAGGACCCTGGGTGGGCGTGTAGAATTGGGGCCCTGCGGAGTGTACCCTCAGGCTGGACCTCTCTGGGGATAAAACCGGCAGCTGGGACCTGGTGGGATTTGGGAGCAGAACTGGGCAGGAGAGGGCTCAGCGTGGTGGACAGAGCTGTTCCGCGGAAGCACAGGGAACCCTCGGTCCCCAGACCCCAGACCCAGACCCAGACCCAGACCCAGACCCGAGACCTCCCCGCCACCCAGGCTTCTGCACCTGAGGCACCTGCGGGGCAGCGATCAGGCCGCTGTGCGCGCCGTGGGCCAGAGCAGCCGACTGCCCCTCCCTCTCCTTTGGTGCCACCTCTGTGGCCCCGGGAGCCCTTCAGCCCCATCTCCCAGGGTTCCTTTGTTTTAAACCCTGCATTTCTCCATCGTGCTCACGGAGGGAGAAGCGTAGATTACAAAGACGCAGCAAATGGTTTTTATAAACTCTTATTTTCTTGCCACAGAACTGCCTTTAATTAGCTCCGAGGACTACAAAGGGAACACGTATAATAGCAGCAGCTTGAAGGCAGGAGCCCACGGCCCCGGTCCCAGACGGGCCGCCTGTCACCAGCCCCAGCCAGGTTTGGTGGGAGCACCCCCATGTCGGGGACGGCGGCCTCCCGCCCCCACCTCAGTCTCTGCCCGCCCAGACCCCACCGGCCCCTACTCCAGCCCAGCCTCGGCGAAGCCTCTGGACGACAAAGACCCACATGGGCGTCGGGCCCTGCCCAGAGCTGGCCGCCAAGTGCTTCCTCTGAGTCACCCTGGGAGCCGGCAGCAGGGGGACAGATGGACAGAAGTGCAGACGGACAGTCGGGCCGGCTTCCGTGCCCCGTTGACCACCTCGGCGGAGGGAGGACAGCCACTGCTCCCGAGCCCAGGAGTTCTAGAAAGCCTTCAACTCTCGTCTGGCAGAGAACTGGTCCCTTTGAGCAACCCAAAAGCCCGGCCCCCGTCTGCAGCCCAGCCTCAGCCTTAGGACCTCACTCAGGGCTCAGAGAGGTTAAGGAATTTGCTATGGTTGCTCAGCAAAGTGGCTACTGTGCTGTGGGACACTCAGCTTGGGGGACGCTCAGGCCCCATCTGGGCTTCTGCTGGGGACGACAGAGGCGGCTTAGGAGGCTGCCTGAGGCCAAGGCCCATCCACCCTGAGGGCCAGACCAGCAGCAAGAGGCCCCTATGAGGTCCAGCCTCAACCAAGTGGAGAATCGGGGACACAGCCCAGACCTCAGGGTCCCTCCAAGCCACGGATGGATGCAAGCACCCCAAGAAACACTCTCTCTCCCCCATGCCTGGGCTCACAAGGCTCCCCAGGCCTGCCCCCCACCCCCGAGGCAAGCCAAGGCGGCACAAGTTCTGCCCTGAATCCAGCAGCTCCCCTCCTCCTGCCGCCCCCCCTCACCCGGGGACGCCGCCAGGGAAGGCCGCCGGGGGCCCACAGTGCTGCCCGGCCTCCACCTGCCTCCCACGGCTCTGCCTGAGCCCAGGTGCAGGGGCCACACTCTGGCAGGCTGGGGGCTGGGCTGCGGGGCCCCCAGAGCCCCACGAGAGAAGCAGGAAGCCGGGCTCTCCCTCCACCCTGCACCCTCCAAGAGCCGGCTGGGGGAGCTGCTGCCCGTGGCCCACTGTCCCCACAGGCTGCGGATAGAAGTCCCACTCCGGGAGACCACGGAGGCCACTGGCCCCTCTTCCCCGCAGGCTCCCTGAGGCTTGCAGGGTCAGGTAGCCAGGCCACGTCCTTGGGCCAGGGTCTGGGTGGTGGCCGCGGCTCCCCACCCGCGAGGGCCAGCCGGGGCCCGGGCACGCGTTACTCACCGCGGATGAAGGCCGGCGAGTAGGCGGGGAAGGAGTCGAAGATGCTGTTGGAGGCCATGCCCCGCTCTGCAGCCGCTTCAGGGGCTCGGCTGGGGCCGGGCTGGGCTGGCCTTGTTAGAGTTTTTTTTTCCTGACTACTTTGGAGAATGAAGGGGGGGGTGTTGGTTTTGTTGTTTGTTTTGTTGTTTTGTCTCTTTTTTTCCCCCTGCTGCTACGAAAAAGAAAAAAGGAAAGAACGCGAGAGTGTGTGTGAGTGAGCGAGAGAGAGAGAGAGAGAGAGAGAGGAGAAGAAAAAAAATCCCCCAGGAAAGCAGAGTTTCTGTTTGTACCCAAGAATCTGGATCCCTGGTCCCACAGGAATGTCTACCCACAAATTCTCAACAGCAGTTGTGTGCAGTGTATCATTAGATGGCGGGAAGGGGCGCTCGGCAGCCAGGGTGGAGGAGGCAGCGAGGCCCCGCACCAGCGCCACGGGGAATGAATGAATGAGGCTTACCCTCGACGGAGCCCAGGCTCCAGCCGGTGCGAGGGCGGCCGGGGGGTGGGGACGACCGGAGCCAACCAGCTCCCGCGCAGGGCCCTGGAGGCGGCCGAGGGCCTGGCCTTGTGGTTCTGTGGTCGAGGGACCAGGCCTTCCCAGTGTCAACCCAAGCCCGGCACACAGGATGCCAGCAGCCAGCTCGCGGCCTTGGCCCATTGGCTGGGGCGCGGTCACCTGGGCCGTGACGTCATGGCCTCTTAGAAGATCTTGTGGCTGCCTTTCTCTGCCTTTTGGAGAGAGAGAGAGGAGACAGAGAGAGAGAGAGGGAGAGAGAGAGGCAGGCAGTGGCTTTTATTTGTGGGACTGGCCTCAGCACGCGGCCCAGAAGCAGAACTGAAAGCGGTTGGAGTGGGGGCGGCCGGGGCGGCGGTTTGGACCCAGTGTGGGAGACTCCTTCTTAATTAAGGCCAGCGTTGGCCTGGGCGGGCCGGGAGCCCCGCCGGCCCCTCACCGGGCGCCGGGAGCCGGGTGCCGCCGCGGGCGCGGGGCTCACACCCTGCCATTGTCCTGCACCGCCTCGGCCAGGCAGAGGCGGCCACATGTGTGGCTCAGTGGCACTTCAGGGGGTTTTATGGGAGCTGGGATTACGTACAAATGGGAAACACATGAGGCGGCACCGCCAGCCCTCGTGCCCGGCAGAAGCCCCGCCTGCGAAGGCGGTGGCGCAGTGGTGCCAGGAGGCCAGGCCTGAGCAGGGCTCTGAGGCCCCGGCTTGTCAGTCCGGCCCACCTGAGCCCACCTGAGCCGCCCCAGGGTCCTTGGCACCACCCCAATGCCCGGGGGTCTCCTTGCCTCCTTGCCCAGTGCCTCCGGCTGAATCTTTCACATCCCAGAATCGTCCCGGCTCACAGCGGCTCAGGAGTAGGAGAGTGGAGGGCGGCCGCTCAGCCGTGCACACTGTGTGCCCGGGGCCAGCTAAGGCTTGGGGCTGGGGGCTGGGGAGGACAGAGAGGGCTTTTTCCGTTTCCCTGGTGAGCTCTACTCTCCCATTTCACAGGCTGAGGCACTGAGGCCCAGGGTGGTGCGGTCCGCTGGGCTAAGGTCACATGGGGCTGGATTGGAACGCCAGCCTCCCACTGGCCAGCCGTGACGTCGCAGCTCACGTCCGAGACTTCGGGAAGTGCCCCCTGCAGCCTGGGCACCACCCCGGCCCCTCCCAGCACCAGCCCTCCACCCTTGGACACACGATGGCCTCTGTAGGCCAAACAGGAGCGGGGGGGTATGGGGAGGAGCAGGGGGCTTGTCCAAGGTCACAGAGCCCCGCTTGTGGCCAACGAATGAGAAGCCCTCCACTGGGGGTGGCTCCTGGTGCTGGGGCGGGGGCAGGGGGTTCTAATTCGGCCGGGGAGGAAGCAGGTTTGTGGTGAAAACCACAGGGCTCTGGAGTCTGATTTGGGCTCCAGCCCCAGCTCCGCTCAATCCGAGCCTCGAGGCCTTGGAGCGAGTCACTTCCCTCCTCCTCGTCTCGGTTTCCTTTCCTGTAAAACAGGGATAACACCTTGGTTGACGGGGCGGGTGCCAGGCGCCGGGTGCCACAAACATGGGTTTCCTTGGCTCAGTCCCTGTGACGCCATTCGGGCTCCGTTATGAGTCAGCTCAGGTACGGAATCAGCACCAATGGGCGAGGTGGGGGGTGGGGGGCACAGACTGCCCCACCCCCACCCTGTGTTGTGCCCGGGCAGGGTCCTTGGAGATCGGGGCCCTGATTCGGCTCAGCGCATTCTGGGGTCTCCCATGCTGTAGGACACTCAGAGATCGACACGGTGGGGAAGACCCCCCCCATTTACTGAAGCGGAAACGGAGGCCCCCCGAGGGGCAGAGACTCATCCCGGCTCCTCGGGTGAGTCAGTGGGAGCCGGGCCCCTGCTCCCAGCCCGAGAGTGGTTTCCACTCTGCCCACACCGCCTCTAGTTTCCAACCCCACCCACTTGGCTGTTTTTTTCCACACCGAGGAGCAGGCCCCCAGGCCCCCATAACTTGATCACCCAGAGGGGCTCCTCCTCCCCAGAAAGCTGAGGCGAGGCCCAGAGATGAGAAGGAGCCCAGGGGCTGCAGGGGCCTGGCGGTGCACCTGTGCGGTTCCCCGAGGCCGAGGGACGAAGGTCTGCTGAGTGCCAGGCTTGACCCTGCCCTGGAGGGAGTTGTACCCACCACCTGCCCGCCGGAGGCGTGAGCTGCCCTTGGAAACAACCCCCTGGAAGCCGCTTTAGAGGGGCAGAAAGAACACAGAGGCTGGAAGCAGCCGTCCCTGAAGGCGGAGCTTGGTTCCTACCAGCAGTGAGACTATGGGCCAGCGGCTTTACCTTTAGAGCCTTGCTTTCCCTGTCTGTGAAATGGGCCCCACCACAACGCCCATCTCCCCAAAGTGTAAAGAGGAAGAAATGAACAAATAGTTGTGAGTTTCCGTGGCACAGTGTGGGTGCCCAGCTCCAGGGAGCTCCTGTCCCTTTAACTTCTGGTTGTGTGTTCCCTCTGCACGCCAAGGAAAGTCAGGTTTCCTCTTGTTCTTCACTGCAAAAAATGAAGTCAGGTTAGTTAAAAAAACAAAAAAGCAAATTTGATTAAAGAAGGGATCATAGGAAACAGTATCTGAAAAAATCACAGAAATTGTATCTTGGAGCCGGTGCTGTGGCGTAGCTGGTAAAGCTGTCGCCTGCAGTGCCGGCAACCCGTATGGGCGCCAGTTCAAGTCCTGGCTGTTCTACTTCTGATCCAGCTCTCTGCTGTGGCCTGGGAAAGCAGTAGAAGATGGCCCAAGTCCTTGGGCCCCTGCACCTGTGTGGGAGACCCAGATGAAGCTCCTGGCTCCTGGCTCCTGGCTTCGGATTGGCGCAACTCCAGCTGTTGCGGCCAACTGGGGAGTGAACCAGCGAATGGAAGACCTCTCTCTCTGTCTTTGCCTCTTTGTAACTCTGCCTTTCAATTAAAATAAGTAAATCTTTTTAAAAAATTCTTATCTTAAACCCACGAGCGTTGAACTTCCAAGTGTGCCTTTGGCAGTTTCCTCTTGCTCTTCCGGCTAAGCCATCCCAGGAGGCCTCTCTTTCTATCTCTGGCTGGGGTTTCTTTCCCGGGAAGGGGAGAGAGCCCACCTCTCCTCCCCCGCCCCACCCCGGTCTCACAACACCTGCCCCAGCCCTAGTGCAAGGTCTTTTTCAGCCACCTGCCTTTGCCAAGTCTTTCCGAAGTGTCCATTGTGGTTTTCGTTCAATCGGGGCTTCCGGGCAGTGTCACAGGGGGTCAGGGTCCACCCAGAAGACGGCCACCGCGGTGAGTGTTGGAAGCAGTGACGGTGATTCCAGGGTTATTGGAAGCACAGGTGAGGGGAGAGCACAGGGCCTGGGAGAGAGGGGGGTGTTCCCACAGCGCCCAGCACAGGCAGGAAGCAGGTGGCCCAGGCTGGCATCTGCCGGAGGGAGCGGGGCGACCACAGAGATGTCCACGGAGACCTGCACCAAGGGGGAGAGATGGCATGACGGGGCAGGGACACAAGGTCAACTCGTGGGGGCGAGTCGACAGCGGAGAGGCTGGTGTGGCAGAGGTGTGGCACCCCGGAGGGCCCTGCTGGCCAGCGGCACGGACTGGTGCACAGCGTGAGAAGTGAGTGTGGGTGACTCCCACAAGCCAGTGGTCTAGGGGTCAGTTAGGAAAGCACCTGCTAGGAGTGACGATAAAATCTGTTTCCTCAAGCAGGGTGCAGAGCTGCTGTTTCACCGTGACCTTGGTTTGCTGCCATTGGGGGATTTCCTTGCCAGTCAGGAGCACTGGACACAGAGCACTGTGCTGAGCTTCACCATGGACAAAGGGGGCGCACCCCAAGCCCACCGCGTTCCCCCACTTTTCACACGAGGCAAAGAAGACTCACCCCGGGGATGAACCCCAACTTGGAGTCTCACAGGACACAGGCCGGGCAGAGACAGAGGCTCAGCGGAAGGGCCTAAGAGGGGTGGGAGCACAGGTGTGCTGCCTCCACCTGCAGCCCGGCCCCCAGATGCCCCTGACTTCTGTTGTCTCCCATGGGAGTCGAGGTGCTGGGGCGTGGGTGCTGGAGGAGCTGGGCTTGGACCCCCACCCTGGCAGCTCCGCAGGGTGGGCACTTGGCCAGGGCTGTCCGACCCTCACCACCCTCCTCTGAGAAATGGGGGAAGTCAGAAGCCCCTAATTCTAACCAGGGTGTGGACGAGGAGAGCACGGAGCAGGCTAGGGAGGAGGGGACAGTGGCTGCCCTCCCGCTGGGTCCCTCAGGGCCCTGAGCGCCCAGGTTTCTGAAGGCCGAGCCCGGCCAAGGGTCTCCGCCTGCAGCCCCCGGCACTGCAGAGGCCGCGCTTGGGTGCCCCGGGGCCTGGCGAGCCTTGCCCACCACCCTTCGTCCCTTGGGGGCCCAGGCCCTCAGGGGAAGAGAGAAAACCCCAAACACTCTCCCCTTCTGGCAAACAAAATGATCCTTCTCCGGGCCTTTGGGTGGAATAACGTATTTTTTAGCTTCAAAGAGTTGTGTCAGGGGCTCAGACCTGCTGTGCGGTGGGCTCTGCGTGGCCGCCCTGGGCTGGGGGCGGGGGCAGGAGGGCACACGGAAGACTCCCCCACCCCAGGGCTGGCAGAGTGAGGGGACTGGGAGGCCTTACCCTCCAGATGCCGGGCCCAGAGCGCCTGCCTGCCCCAGTGCTGGATCTATTTTTCGGGCCAATCTCGTCCCTGCTCCCATGTCTTCTTAGAGTCCTCCCAGCAGGAGCCTAACTCACAGTCACCAAAAACCCACACAGAACCTGTTCTTTTTTTTTTTTTTTTTTAAAGATTTTATTTATTTGGCAGGTAGAGTTACAGACAGTGAGAGAAACAGAGAGAAAGGTCTTTCTTCCATTGGTTCACTCCCCAAATGGCTGTGATGGCCAGAGCTACGCTGATCTGAAGCCAGGAACCAGGTGCTTCTCCTGGTCTCCCATGCGGGTGCAGGGCCCAAGAACTTGGGCCATCCTCTACTGCCCTCCTGGGCTACAGCAGAGAGCTGGACTGGAAGAGGGGCAACTGGGACTAGAACCCAGCGCCCATATGCGATGCCGGCACCACAGGCTGACTATTAACCAAGTGAGCCTCGGCGCCGGCCCCAGT